GTACTGTTGTTTTATTATTGTTGCAGGACGCTAATTAGATATCAAGATCTCCATATCAAAAAACAAGACGCTATACTGATTAAAATGTACTATATGTAATCTCTATATTAACTTTAGTTCTTTCGTTAAAAATATAATTTAAAAAAAACACAGATTTTTTGCTTTGGGTCATATTAGTAATAGACTTCACATAAAAATGATTGCTAAAAATTTGTCAACATTGAATTTTCTTCAAATTTGAAATTTAAAAAAAAAATGATACTAAGGGTATTTATTAAGACTAATCTGTTATACTTTCTTATTAAACTAATTAATAGCATTATCTATATTTAAAAAGTTATAGTTTTGAACTTTAAACTTCGATTATCTCGCAACTTGACTTTTGTGACCTAGTATTTTTTTTTTAATTTTCTTTTACATCAATATTTGTGTAAATAACAAATTTTTTTAATTCAGTTTTAAAATTGGAATGTTTGATTTTACTATAAGAACTAAAATACTTTTGTAGACTAGAATTATTTTCTTGGTCGTCTCTTTCACCCATTTCTGTTGTTAAACTAGAATCGTACTGCCGATCTAGTTCACGCTTTACAAAGACCATCAACAGTTTTAGTTGAAAGGTAATGCTACGAAAAGAGCTTCTTAACGCTATAACAGAGCATCCTTAATCTTGACCAGCCCCTGATTTAATCTGTTCATTTTCTGTCCTTTCTTCGGATTCAATCTTCTTCTATCTCAGATTTGCATTGTATCAATCCTTAGAATACTGAACCAAAGATTTAATGTCAATCAGTGATTGATTGTCTTACCTTGAAATTCTAATACAGCTAATAAGATTTTAGAATTGTTTAACATAAGCCATCAAAACGTCTTGCAACATAAATACCAACATTACGCAATTACAGGTTCCGAAATACGTTAGATACTAACAGATACTAAAATCTTTCATAAGTCGTTTACTACGGCAAACGATTACATAATGGAACAATTTGTTAATTTGTTCCGTTTAAATTAGCTGTGAAAAAACACTTATTTGCGCTCCCTTCTTAACGTGAGGTGATGGAGAATCACCAAATTAAGCATGTAAAAGTAAACAAAAAGTAACATTACGCATTGTGTTATACGTGTTATTCCCTTGAATATCACTTCTTTATTGCTCATCTTTACAAGTTACAACTTGTCTTATAACTATACATATTGTATATTTAGTTGCCTACCACGGCCCCTTTCTAAAGCATACTATAATTTATTTAACAAAGTCTTTTAACTTTAATGGAACTCGTCTTTCGCGTCCGCGTCTCCGTGGTTCATCTATCTCTGTCCTGGTTTCGGCTTCTTCGAAATATTGATCTTCTCTCGGACCATCCGGGGTCTGTTCACTGATTTGTGGTAGTTTTTGGAGATGTCTTCTATTTCTTCTTAAATCCTCTTTTTCCGTTTGTACAATATATGATCTTGGTTCGTCGGCTATTTCTTTTATTATGCCATCCCGCTTCTTATTTATTATCCATACTCGATCACCTGGTTCGAGGTTTGTATTTTCTCGAACTCGATGACGTTTGTCATAATTTCTCTTTTGTTCTTCCTTTTCTGTTTTTAGTTTTTGTCTAATGATGGCATGATTTGGTAGCTTAGGTTTTAATTTAGCCTCGATTCTTGGGAGTGGGTCGCGCAATGATCTACCATACAAAAGTTGAGCTGGAGATGCTCCACATTTTAACGGTGTGTTGCGGTATATTAATAATGCTTTGTACATGTCATCGTTCGTCTTAAGTATTTTTTTTATTAGTTTGACTGCGCTTTCGGCCTGACCATTAGCTTGTTGGTATTCAGGACTGCTACTTGTCCATTTAAACCCATATCTCTTCGCAAATTTTCTAAATTCATAGCTGTCAAACTGTCTACCATTATCGGTTCTCATCTCAATAGGTATACCATGATGTGACATAATGTCCTGAAAGTGTTCAATAACTTCTTGACATGTAATTCTGCCTAGTTTACGAATCTCGGGATATTTAGAATAATAATCTTGTACCACAAGATAAGTACTGTTTCGATAGGTTGCTAAATCTGCACCAATTATTTCCCATGGTTTTCCTGGTATTTGTGTTATAATCATCGGTTCTACTACAGGATTTTTGATTTTTAAACAGTTCTCACAGTTTTCGACAGTACTAATTATGTTTCTTCGTATGCCTGGCCACCACACTGAGTCCTTTGCTCTAGCTATACATCTATTAATTCCTTGATGTCCTTCGTGGATTAGATTGAGACACCATCTTCTCGCTTCTCTGGGTATTACT